TCCTGACACTGACAGTGTGCTGTCTGTGACTAGGTACCCAGAACCTGTTGGAGGCCTGTGTCCAGGCTTGTGTGCCAGCCTTCATCTACACCAGCACAATTGAAGTTGCGGGGCCCAACTCCTACAAGGACATCGTCCTAAATGGCAATGAGGAAGAGCAACATGAAACTACATGGTCTCATTCATACCCATACAGCAAAAAGATGGCTGAGAAGGCAGTGCTGGCAGCCAATGGATCCACCCTGAAAAATGGTGACACTTTCCACACTTGTGCCTTAAGGCCTATGTACATCTATGGGGAGAAAAGTCCATTCATTTCTAACACAATGATCAGAGCCCTCCAAAATAATGGTATTCTGGGTATTACTGGAAAATTTTCCACAGTTAACCCAGTGTATGTGAGTAATGTGGCCTGGGCACACATTCTGGCTGCCAGGGGCCTACAAGACCCCAAGAAGTCACCAATCATCCAAGGGCAGTTCTACTACATCTCAGATGACACCCCTCACCAAAGCTATGATGATTTAAATTATGCCTTGAGCAAGAAATGGGGCTTCCGCCCTGATTCCAGTTGGAGGCCTCCTCTGCCCCTGCTGTACTGGCTTGCCTTTCTCCAGGAAACTGTGAGCTTCCTGCTGCGTCCAATCTACAATTACCAGCCTCCCTTTACCCGCCATTTGGTGGCACTCTCAAATAGCGTGTACACTTTCTCCTACAAGAAAGCTCAGCGAGATCTGGGCTATGAACCCCCTGTCAGCTGGGAGGAAGCCAGGGAAAAAACTTCAGAGTGGATTGGGTCACTAGTGGAGCAGCACAAGGGGACACTGAACATAAACACTCAGTGATGTAATGATGGCAGTGACAATGGCAGGGGCATGGCCCTGGGTGCTGTCAGGAAATAGTTGTCAGGTTCTCTAGAAGGGACATAGGCACAACCCAGGTCCTACTGCCTCCCTTTGACACAGAGACCAACTTAGTGTCTTCCTCAAGACACCAGCAGCTTTGCCAGTCCCTGGTCCAGCCACAGGCTTTCTTCCCTCAACACTTGCCCGGTAACATGCAGCTGTGCCTCAGCTGCTGTGACCTGTGACTTCAGGCTTCAGCCATTGCAATTTCCTGTCACGTAGAGTTCAGTATTGCTTTTCTTTGCACTCTCAATTTCTGTATCACATCCTGCCTTTGAGAAAACCCCATTGCTTTATGAAGCTCAACAGAAATAGAAATAAATATTGCAATACCTTACATGGAGGTAGCATTTTTCTCTTATTGGGCATTGTTATGATTTCCCTTCCATTAGCAAGGCTTGGCCCTTCCAGAACACTAATGGAACCTAGAACTGGCATTTTCATACAATCACAGGAAGTATGAATTTGAGATTGTGCTTAATCAATCAGGTAGGCACTAACTACATGATTGACATCAATTACCTCATTTTACACCTCCCAGACAGGAAGCAGAGATTCCTATTCCCATGTCATATATAAGAGATATTCCTCTCCTCCCCCACTAACGGGTTGCTGGAAAGTTCACTTCACCAGAGAGACTGAAGTGAAATGCCTCACCTTCCCACTAAACCTTGCAGCCTTCACTTCCCTTTTATAGGAAAAGCAGTCCTGAAGAGTAGACTGCCCCCCTTGGTAGAGCTCCAACTCTCCTGGCCTCCTCTCTGCCTATACTTGCACACAAGGCTCCCTAGAACCTTGAGGGGTACATGGGAATCTGTGTACTCCTTAACAAATGGCCCTGGAGAAAAGGGGGGTGGGAATGGGAGAAACTCTCAGCCACTATCTGCAATGGTTGTGTCCTGGAAGATTCTAGAACACACCTAGATAGATTTGTGTCAGGTATTTTAGTCATTAATAACCCCAAATTTCTACCTTAAAATCTATACAATAAAGATAAACCTAAGTTCCTGGAAGGTTAAAAGGAACAAAACAGATGCAATCAAACATGTGTTCCTACTCAGCCTAGAATCTGAGATTTAATTCTGCTCCTTTCATCTTCCATGGTTCCATCTTACTTCTGCAGGGCCTCCTCTGACATTGTGTCATTTTATTTCCTTCCATTTATCCCCTTATCCTTTTCAACATTCTCTGAGGAGAGGATGCCAGTCAGGAAAAGTGTAATAACCTAAATGAGAATACAGCTATTAACTAACAATTAACAGACAGTTGTCAGTTCAATGCAGATAGCAGTGAAGCATGCTATATACTTCGGGTAGGGGTAAATACTCCTGCACACAAGCCTTTTCAATGCAAGTAAAATATCAAAAGAGGCAGCAAAGACACAGGAAAAGGGCAGCTGCCCAGCCTGTGAGCCTCCTTCCCTTTTCCTATGGATTCTGCAGTCTGTGATCATAGAATAAGGGAAGCACAGGGAAGGGCTCACCCACAGGTTTAAGTATGGTATGCAAATGATTGGAGAGAGTGGAATTGAGCAAAAGGTGTCCAGGAAAGCTTCGAGGACTTCAAAGTCCCACTTTCAGGTGGGACTTGAAAAGGAGAGTCGGGTGGGTCCATGCAGGGAGGACAGCCTGAGAGATGGAGGAGTGTGCAGGTGGAGGGGGACCAAGGTGAGTAAAGATGCCGGATACCACTCAAGCAGGGTTTGCTGAGTGGGTGTCCTGGGTGCCAGATAGTGCTGGGTACTAGACAAGGGTGGCCTCTGGGGACCCAGCAGAGTGGCCGGGGGATGGTCTGCTTAAGGCCACCTGCAGGAGCATGGTGCAATGCTTGATCTTTGATCTCCAAATACTGGAGTGTGAGCTTTGGAAGCAGACAAAAGCTCAAGGACAAGGGTAAGTGTGAAGGCATCTTTCTTGACAAGATGGTGACATATCTGTTCTTTCATGGTGCTTTGTCCCAAGAATGCATTTTAGCATATTTTAAACTTTTGCATGTTTTCAATTGGTTGAAGATCCTTTGTTTAAAAAAAATGTCAGTTGGTTAGCAATGTTAAGTTATAAACTAAGAAGACCCATCTATGGGCTAATCACTTACCTTTGGCCTCCAATTGCATCTCTGCTCCTAATTCATAGTATAGTTAGGAGATAAATGTAGTATCCCATCTTTGTGGTATCAGTCTGTAGCCCGTGTTCATGCCTGAGAGGGGGAGTGTGGATTGAGAAACGACATGTAAAGATACTAAGGAAAAGAGAGACACAGAATAGAGTCAAAAGGGCAATCCAATGAATACTGAATGTACCAAGTTTATTCTTCAACATTCTTAAATATCCCAACCAAAGGGGGGAAAATGATAAAAGACTTCTTTATCATGATACAGGGAAGAAACAGACTTTCTTCCTTAATTCTCCAAACATTAAGCAACCATGCCTTAGACTAAATCTTTCATTAGTTAGATAAGACATCCACACCTAAGACCAAACTTCCTACAGTAGCTAAGCCTTAGACCTTTAGGTCTTATGCCTTTAACCTTGGAAGAGTAAAGATAGTTTTGAACTCTCTGACCTTAAGCCAAGATGAAGCTGAGCATTTGTATGAACCCTGACAGATAAAGCATGAAACCTGGGTGTGGCTATAAAGACCAGAAGGTGTATAATGCTTGAGAAAGGTCATATCTAATGGCAATACCCTGTCTGGACATTGGGCTTCATGGTAGTAGATGGGTGAGATTCCACAATTGTAAGAAGAAGGGAAAATGACCCAAGCAGATGCATTGAAGCCTCCAAAAGCCCATGTGGGATAGAGCATGATCCTGAGGCAACAAGGAAAACATGTCTGAACAGAACAGAGAATTCAGCTGCAGAAGTAGAAGAGATACCTACAATGGCATAAGATACAGAGACATTGATGTAAAACTCCTAAGAAGAAAACAAAAGTCACTATGTAACAATCAAGGTATTGACTCATTAAAAATATAGATTGTATTTTGATAATCACCTAATGTCAAAACATAATAGGTTTATAAAAACAAAAACAGTGAGGAGACCTATATGTCTCTGTTGATTTCTCATTTCTTTGAAGTGTGACAATCTGTTGCTAGGTAATCTGTAATTCTATTTTTATTTATTTATTTATTTTTGGTTTTTTCGAGACATGGTTTCTCTGTATTGCTTTGGAGGTTGTCCTGGAACTTGCTCTGTAGACCAGGCTGGCCCTGAACTCACAGAGATCTGCCTCTGCCTGCTGAATGCTGGGAATAAAGGCGTGCAACACCAGCACCCAGAGTAATCTGTAATTTTATAATGTATTTCTGTAGTATCACTTATAGCATCTCCTTTGGCATATTTAAGAACAGCACAACTTGGTGAAAAGCTTCCTGGTGATAAATAACTCAACCCATGTGCACAGTGACATGAATACATCGTAACCCCTTGTAAAATGCATGTGACATCTTCCATAAAGATTCTATAGATTGACTAGCTCATGATAAGGGTATGGGGGAGGATTCAGTGTGGTCTCAGCCACACAGATAGCACAAAGATCACATCCTCTTCCAACTTTCAGGCAGAAAACAGATTATACATCTTTCTCTTTGAAGAGACAAGCCTGTGTATTTGACATTCAGTGCTTATCTGTGAGTACAAGGACTTCCTTGCCTCCCCCAGCTATGAGCTGCCATGTGTATGCTGGGAATCTAACCTCAGTCCTCTGCCAGATCAATGAATTCTCTTAACTGTTAAGCCATCTCTCCAGCCCCTGATTTCCATTTGAGAATGTACTTGGATGATAACTTAGGTAACCCCAAAGTCAAAGTGATTAATGCAGTGCTGAAACAAAATGTCTGGATTTCATGCTGCTTCCAGTTGCTTCATGGACCCAAATGGGAAGAGCCTCTTAAACAAAGACAATTTCTAAGCCCCTGTTATAACAAGGCATAAATCTTTCAAAAACAGTTTAGTTAATGATGTTAAGAAAACTGGAAAATTTATCTTGAGTGAGGTAACCTAGACCCAGAAAGACAAATGCTGTTTGTGTAGAATTCAGCACTAAATCTTTAGTTTTGTGTGTTTAACTTAGAATAACACTTCAGGACACTGAGGAGTAGGAAGAAAGATATTAATTGTGTGGAGTATGGGCAGTAGAATACAGGATAATATGAAAAGGAAAAGGATATAATGAAGAGGAAGAGTTAGTGAGAATGGGGATTAGGAAGGTAGAACAGAAGAGGAGCTAGGGAAGGGATAATTAATGCTAAGATGCTTGAAAAAGCCATATGGAAACCTACTAATTTGATATATATGAGTTTGTTGCTCTACTCAGGATAATGCTGTTTCTCTCAGGAAACACAGATTGCCAAATAAAAAGCCTAGCGCCAAGTGTGGAATAACCTGCCTTGAGTTGTTGGTCAGAGGCATCCCAAAGACCCCCCCAAATTTTTACAGGCTACTGCCATTGCTCCTGGTGCCCATCAGAACTTATGGCAAGACCCTATTGCTGAATATACCACACACTTTGGTCACAGACATGAGAAAAATAAGCTGGCACTATCCAGGAAGCTTCCTCCATGATGGCTAGCTTTCATAAGGTGTTATGAATACTACAGAGAGAAAGAAAACATCAATATCCTGATACAGCTGTGGATGCTATTAGCTATAATAAAAACCAGCCTGGAAAGATATGCACAAACACTATGGAAGTAACCAACAACTTTTTTGTTAGATATAAGGACCACTCCACAGGAGGACATACATCCCTAGTTCAGTAGATCTAAGAACCCATTGTTCTGAAGCTCATAGGTTTAGGGGGAACCTTGCTAGATTGACATGGTATCAAACTGTTCTCTAAATACGTATCTCTATACCCATGGATGAGTGCAGCCCTCAGTCCTCATCAGAGTAGTTTCTTTGTGCAATGGACAATAAAACAGAAATTCACAACTGGCCACAGCACAGAAAATAATAGCTGTGGAGTCCTCGGCCACAAGTGGAACATCTATTATCATACACTACCTTACGATTTCTATTGCTGTGATCAAACACCAGGACCAAAAGCAAGTTGAGGGGAGGAAAGGGTTTATTTGGCTTGTACTTCCATATCACTGTTCATCATCAAAGGAAGTCAGGACAGAAACTCTAAACAGGGAAGGAACATAGAGGCAGGATCTGATGCAGCGGCCATCTCCCCAAGCCTCATAAAACACTGTGGAAGAGGTCATAGAAAGATTCTAAGAGCCAAAGGCCAGTAAGAAAGCAAGTCAAACTGTCTTCTGGACATTATAG